TACCCCCTCCAATGCATTCTTAATAATCCTTGTATTAAAAAAAATCGATGGTCAATTTGTTTTTGTTTTTGTTTTATTTTGTTTTGTTTGGGGGCCACATCCAGCGGTGCTCAGGGCTTACTCCTAGCTCTGCACTCAGGGATCACTCCTGGTAGTGCTTGGGGACCATATGGGATACCAGGGGTTGAACCCAAGTCAGCCACATGCGAGGCAAGTGCCTCACCCATACTATTGCTCTGGCTCCTTGGTTGTCATTTGGGTAAAACTTTTTATTTATTTATTTATTTTTTTAGAACCCCCTTTTTTTGCATTTAGCTGAGAGTGTTTTCAGCATCTGAAGTAACCAGGTTATTACTTTCTCTTTTCTGTCAGTTAAGGGCTAGCACTGTAGCACTGTCCTCCCTTTGTTCATTGATTTGCTCAAGTGGGCAACAGTAACATCTCCATTGCAAGATTTGTTGTTACTGTTTTTGGCATATCGGATAAGCCACGGGGAGCTTGCCAGTCTCTGCCGTGCGGGCAGGATACTACCGGTATCTTGCCAGGCTCTCCAAGAGGGACAGAGGAATTGAATTTGGATCGACTGCCTGCAAGGCAAATGCCCTGCCCGCTGTGCTATCACTCCACTATGATCACGTAGGTGGTTTTCCCAGGGTGAGAGGCTCATCCATTGCACTCGGGATCTGCTGACCCCTGCTGTTTCCCCAAATGTGGGAAACTCGACAGTTAAGGTGTATTTGTAAAAAACTTAAACCCTTGATTTTCTATTGACACCCTCTGTGTAAGGTGGTTACTGCTTAGGTAAAGCCAGTTGGAAGATTTCATGCTTCCTGAGGTTTGTTTTCTAAACAAATAGTTTGAGCAAAGGACACATAGTCAAGAAATGTGGCATGAATTCTGAAAACTTGGTTATATTAGCAACATAGAAAACTGAATATTTGGGTGACTCTGATGAAAGTGGTGATTATTGTAAACAGGAATGCCACTCAAGAATTTCTCTGTCATGGGAGCTGGAGAGATGGTTCAGAGGGCAAGGTGCTTGCCTTGCAGGTAGCTGGCCCGAGTTTGATCCCCAGCATCTCATGTGGTCGCTAAGCACTGCCAGTAGTGATTCCTGAACACAGATCCAGGAGTAACTCTCGAGCATTGCCAGGTGTGGCCCCAAAATAAAAACAGAAAGAATTTCTTTGCAGGGCCAGAGAGCTAGTACAGCTGGTAGGGCGCTTGCCCTGCACACACCCAGCCAGGGCTCGATCCCCAGCATCCCATGTTGTTCCCCAAGCACCACCAGAAGTGACTTCTGAGTGCAGAAATGGGAGTAACTTCTGAACATCACCAGATGTGTGGCCTTAAAAATGCATGTGAATTTTTTTGCTTTCAGGTGTTTTATAGTCTACAGGGAAGATGGTTTGACTTTTTCTAATACTTATGCTGAAGGAACTTTCTAGGTTTTTTTGTGCGGGGCATATCTTACATTGCTCAGGGGTGACTTTTCGCCACGCTTGAGGGACCATATGGTGGTGCCAGAGATTCGAACCAGGGTTGGCCACTTGCAGAGCAAGAGCCTTAACCAGCTGCACTGTCTCTCTTGCCCAGGACTTTGTAGTTTTTTAGTGGGAAAATGGGCTTCATTGTTCAAATAGACTTGGGAAACTCTGGCGTAAGCAAAGCCTGGTACCTTTTTCTGCTGAAACGTTGACGTTTTTTGAAATAGAAGTATAAAAAAAGAGGCGTGCGACATATATACCAAATTTATTTGTTCATGGATCTTTGTATTTACCAGAACTAAATCTAGAATGAGACAGATGTTGGGAAATTTTTTTTGCATTAGAGTCCCCTCCCCCCCCCCATTATATAAGCAATGGTGAACCTGTGGGGGCGTATTCCTCTAAAGAAATAAAGGTTTTTTGAGTGTTATCAGAAAACTGAAGATTTTGATATTTAAGTGTTTGCTAATACACAATGGATTCTACTTGGTCTGTTTTTTCTTTGCACTTATCATAAGCTACGCTACTGCAATAGTCTCTGCCCTACTTTTATTATTTGAAGGCCTTCTGTTGTGTTTGCAGAGATTCAGGACCCAGATTCTCATCTGGGGGTTCAACACTCTAGATTACTAGGAGATCTGCTCAAAGGCAAGATTCCATGTAAAAGGTGGTTGCTTTCTCCTCTCCTTGGTATGTTTTTTAGTTTGGGAATAGGAGACCGTCTTCGGCTGGATTTTATCTGGGCAAAAGCCAGATTGAGAGTGAACCCAGTAGAACTGGTTTGTATTTGCTTCCTTAGGGTTATTGCTAGACTGGGAACCCTTTTCTTATATCACAGTTTGGGTCTTCTTGGGACCATGCATATGGCTTGAGAGCAAACCTCAAATCCCGAATATGTGGGTAGGCCTACAGTTACGAATTCTCAGGAGAGATTTCCCCAGCTTTTTTCATATCCCACTTGTAGGCCATAATGAGACAAAAATTAATTTAAAATAAAATTTTGTGGAAATGTCATTGCTCTATAACAAGTTTCAGGTGTATAGAATTATAATTTAACATTTATGTATGTGAGTTCAAAAAGTGTGGATGGCAAGGACAGTGGAGACAAGGGCCAGGAAGATTGCTCCTGGCCCTTGGTAACCTGCCTTATGAGCTGGGGGGAAGGCAGCTGGGATAGAGAAGGGATCACTAAGTCAATGATAGTCGGAGGGATTGCTCCACTTCAGCCCCTTTCCCTCATATCCACCAACTTTCTGTAGCTGAATTTTTGTTTTGTCCTGGGTCCATCCAAGGCAGGGACCCTCCTTTTGGGAGTGTTAGGAAATAAGAACAACTGAGGCTTTAGTCAAGTAAATATGATGGATGCCCAGGAGTAAATATTATTCAGAGTCAATGAACTCCCATGTTACAAAAGCACAGCATCAACTGTCTTCCTGTGTCTATACAAAAAGGACATTGTTAAACCATGCAAAGGGCATAAAGGAAAGAGAAAAGCAATATAGAATTATTAGTGCTTGATGGGATTGGGTATGCCTCAGGAGCACTGTGGTGGGAGTAACTCAGTAGACCTAACCTCCCTGTCGGAGGAGCAAGGACAAACCAATATTTCCAACATGTATACACAATGATCACCACCAAAATGGGAGTTTTCCTACTGATGATGGGTGTGGTGGTGAATTATTTCCACAAGAAACCATTACTAATAGCATTGTTATACCACGGAATCTTAAAAAAATAAGTTTGTTTTCCTCCACTGCCTCCAGTTAGCCCCTTTTACCCGTTACTTCCTCCTGCTCCACTTCAACCCCTTTTCCTCACATCCACCAACTTTCTGTAGCTGAATTTTTGTTTTGTTCATTTGCTTTGTTTTTTTTAATATTTCATAACACTGTGTGATAGAAATCAAACTGTATTTTGAAGCAGGCCGTATTAACTCCCTGTATCAATAAATAGGTTTTTGAAACACTTTTAGTTAGGGCTGGAGCGATAGCACAGTGGGTAGGGCATTTGCCTTGCATTCGGCCAAGCCGGCCGACCCCAGTTCGATTCCTCTGCCCCTCTCGGAGAGCCCGGCAAGCTACCGAGAGTATCTCGCCCACACGGCAAAGCCTGGCAAGCTACCCATGGCGTATTCGATATGCCAAATATAGTAACAAGTCTCACAATGTTACTGGGCCTGCTCAAGCAAATCGATGAACAAGGGGAGGACAGTGACAGTGACAGGAATGTGAGCCTTGGAAGTGCCTGGCTTTATACAGAAGTCTCAGTTCTGGGGCCAGAGAAATAGTATAGGTGTAGGGCGCCTGCTCTGACCTGGCTTTAGTCTCTGGCGCCCAACATGGTTCCCTGAGTACCGCCAGAGTGATCCCGGAGCCCAGAGCCAAGAGTAACCCCTGAGCACTGCCGATGTGCACCCCCCCCCCCCAACTACAAAAACAAAATCGAAACAAAACTAACAAATAAAAACCCACAAAATCCAGCCAAATGTCTCAGTTCTGATTCCTTGTCTTACATGGTTTCAAGATTCTCCTGATCTTGCAATGCTTTTCAAACCAGAACCTTGGCCAGAGACAATACAGGGGTAAAGTGCTGGCAGAAGGGTTTGATCCCTAGCACTGCATACGGTTGTCATCCTCTTTCTCTAACGCCCTGCCATCCCCTGCACAACCTTCACCCCCACAACCAGGTCACCACCAGGAGTGATCCTTGAGCTCGGAGACTGTGTGGCCTAAAACCCAAAAAAGGAAAAACGAAACAGAACACTCCTTAATTGCTAAGATCTGCAAATCCTTACCACGCGGTATCAACTTATCAACATTGCATTGTAACCTTTGGCTTTGTCATTATTCTGGAGACTCTGAGAATTTCCTTTATATTCTTTCAAGTCAATCTATACATTTGGAAGAATATACTCCTCCCTCCCCCCCCATCTAGATCATGTCAGCCTATGTATTGCCAAAAACAAAAATTCAAGCATACCTTTTATAATTAGAAACTAGCATATTCCCATTTTTTTTAAAAAAAGACTTTTTTTCTTTTTTTCTCTTTTCCTTTTTGTTGTGAAGTTGTGGGGGTTGTTCCCAAGCTGTGCTCAGGAGTCCTGGGAGCACCTCCCAGTGAGTATCAGCCAACTGGTCCAGCTTTAGTATGAGTGCCCAGAGGTGTCAGGGATTACTTGGGTCGTTCCAATGATGCTGGTCATGGGGAGTTGCAGGATCACCCTCAGAAGTGTCTAGGGACCTCCTGGGCTGTACCTGGTGATGCTCAGAAGACCATTTGGTACAGGATATGGTACCAGGGTTGGCTGCATCACGTTCAAGGGCCCCGACAAGCCTTGAGCTCCCTTTCCAGCCTCAAAAGACAGACCTTGTAAGAACATTCAAAGTATAATAGTGTATGTATGGGGCAGGGAGGACTCATTTTCATAAAAGGTTGGTTCTTACTTGCTCACCAAACCCCCGGCGGTTGTCTGGCTTTTTACCTGAGAACACTAACTGTTTCCTTTCTTCTTAGATGTTCCTTCTGTAATGGAAGATGATTGAAGACAAGGGCCCTCGAGTTGCTGACTATTTTGTGGTGGCAGGATTGACTGATGTCTCAAAGCCTCTGGAAGAGGAAATTCACTTCAATGATGCCTGCCACAAAGTAGCTAAGCCAAAGGAACCTATCACTGATGTTTCAGTTATTATGAAATCTCTTGGGGAGGAAGTTCCGCGGGATTATGTTTGTATTGATGTCACCCCAAGTGGACTATCCGCTGACCTCAATAATGGAAGTCTTGTGGGTCCACAGACTTACCTCTGCTATAAAAGAGGAAGAGATAAACCTCCACTTACAGATCTGGGGTAAGTTGATTTTTGGTACTGTTTGGTATTTGGTTTTTGTTTATTTGAGAATTTTTGGTATTTAAATAGTATATTATGAAGATTTTGGAATTAACGGCTTGATTTTTTTTCACTGATAGTGACACAGACACAGGGCCAGAACCATGGTACTGCAGGGAGGGCACTCTGCTTGCACGTGCTATTCCTGGCTCCCATATGGTCCCTCGAGCAACTCCAGGAGTAATTCCTGAGTACAGAGCCAGTAGTAAGCACTGAGCATCACTGTTTGTGGCCTACAAACAAACAAACAAACACAAAAAAACAACCAGAAAAAAAGATACACATTGAACATTAAGGGGATAGCCCGAAGTGCCGGAATACGTGCCTTGCCTAGGATATATAGACCCAAGGTCACAATAGCCTCCTGAGCACTTCCTGGAACGCCACCCCCAGTGCCAAATATGACACATTTGCTTGGGGGCCACACCCAGTGATACTTCCTACTTTGGTACTGGGTGACCATGTGGTGCCACACATGAAACTTGGTCCCCGATGCATGGCGTGTGCCCCACTCAGATACACGTTTATAACCAGAACCGTATTCCTTTCCTGCCTTGGCCTCTTTTTGTCCTTGATGTCAGGTTGTCTGCATGTTCCCAGCTCTTGCATCCTTTCTGAATCTCTTTTTATGAAAAGAGGGAGAAAGAATTTGAAAAACATTTATTTAAAAAATGAATGAATGAATTATGCTGGTCATAAAAAGTGTTTATTATTCTTGGTTTTGTTTCTGGGGGCCATACCCAGTGGTGCTCAGGTCTTACTCCAGGCTCTGTGCTCAGGGATCACTCTTGGTGGGGCTGGGGAGACTAAGTGTGCTGCTGGGGACTGAACCCAGGTCAGGAAGAGGCAAAGCAGTTGCCTTCTTCACTGGACTATTTCTCTGGCCTCCTCAAAGGGTTTGTTTTGTTTCTGTGTATGGAGCATACCTGGCAATGTTCAGGGCTTACTCCTGCTCTTCACTCAGGGATCATTTGTGGCTGTTCTCTGGGGACCACATGGGATTCCAGAGATTGAACCCGGGGCAGCTGCATGCAAGACAAGTACCTCACCTCTGTACTATCTCTCCAAACCCCCAAAATGTCTATTTTTAAAATACAAGGAAAAGATGGCTTTTTGGCATAAGTTATAATGATCCATATAGATACTTTGGATATATGTACATACAAAAACAACAAAGGGATTGGTGCTTTATTTAGAATACTCTTATGAGCTTAGAACTCTTTTTTTGTATATAGTGTATATATTGAGATCTAATTCACATATCATGTAAACTTAAATTTTCAATTCATTGTTTTTGTTGTATTTATGGGATGGTGCAACTTATCACTACAGTAACTTTTAGAATATTTTTATCATGCCAGAAAGAACCCTTTGTGCCCATTTCAGTCCCTCTTCACTTCCTCTCAGCCCAATCAGCTCTGGGCAATCCCCAGTTCACTTCCTGTCTTCAGTGACAGAACTTGCCTTTTCTACACATTTTATAAAATGAAATGGAGCTATATTTGCTTGCTTTCGAGCTATAACTGGCATATTTTACTCAGCATGTTTTCAGAGTTTATTCACATAAGAAGTAAGCCCTCAGCACTGCAGGATGTAGCCTCAAAACAAAACTGTAGCAATGTACAAACAAACAAAAAGCACCTTAAAAAACAACAACAAAAAAACCCTAATGCCAAGGTCTTAACATTGAAATCCCAATCAGAACATTTTTGGTTTTGAGACACCTCCGGCAGTGCTCAGGGGTTACTCCTGGCTCTGCACTCAGGAATTATTCCTGGCGGGGCTCAGGGGACCAGATGGGATACTGGGGATCAAACCCGGGTCATTCATTCAGAGAAACCCCTCTCTGTGCTATCGCTCTGGCCCACCAGTCTGTGAATTCTGGAGGGATAAAGTGATGTTTTTTCCAGTGTGATGTTTCTTTGTGTCCTCGAGTGTATGAATGGAGTGTTTAGAATCCAAGGCCTGGATGCTTTGACTGTTCTTTACTAAAAGCCCATGATTATGCTACACTGTAGGAGGACAAACAGTGCTGGAAAAATTCACCCGGACTTTTGATTATAGGTAGATTGGGGGGGGGGGGCAGAGTGGTAGTACAGAGGGTAGGGTGCTTACCTTGCTTGTGGCTGGCTGAGTTCGAGCCCCAGCATCCCAGGTGGTTCCCTGAGCACTGTTGGTTTTTCACCCTCACCCCAAAGAAAAGGGTAGATAGGAGGTTATTTTCTCTTTCTTGTTTGAGGAGGTCATTTTTCTCTGTGAAATGACTGTCTCTTAAAACTGGGGGAATTTCTTTACAATAGCCAGAAACTGGAAGAAACCTGAATGCCCAAGAACAGATGACTGGTTAAAGAAACTTTGGTACATCTACACAATGGAGTACTATGTAGCTCTTAGAAAAGATGAAGTCATGAAATTTACATACAAGTGGTACAATATGGAAAGTATCATGCTAAGCGAAATGAGTCAGAAAGAGAGGGATAGACATAGAAAGATTGCATTCATCTGGGGGATATAAAGTAACAAAGTATGAGATTAATACCCAAGAATTGCTGAGATCAGCAACAGGAGGATTACTCCATAACTTAGAGGCCAGCCGGGTATCCTAGAGGAAAGGGCAGCTCAGATAGAGAAGGGAGCACCAAATAAAGGATGTTTGGAGGATCCTCCCAGGAGGGGAGATGCATGTCGAAAGTAGACTATGGACTGAACATGTTTGCCACTCAATGCCTCTTTTGCAGACCACAACACCCAAAAGGAGAGAGAGAACACAGGGGATTGCCCTGCCACAGAGACGGGGGGATGGGGGGATGGGGGTGGGAGGGATATTATCCATGGTGGTGGAAAATGGGCACTGGTGGAGGGATGGGTATCTGATCATTGTATAATTGAAACCAAAGCACAAAAAATTGTAAATCTACAACTTAAAAAAAAATAAAATAAAATAAAGGGGAAAAAAAATAGAAAAAAAAAAAAAAACTGGGGGAATTGTTAGAGGTAATTGTGTAAGTGTATTCTATATTATCTGGTGAAGAACCTTTTTCTGAAATCTCAAATTGAGGAATGTTGCTCTTATGAAGATGCCTGGTAAAACAGAAAAAAAGAAATCTATTAAATGAAATTAAAAGCAGTGTCTTTGCACATCATATTGCTGTTCTGTGGTTTATGGCAACAAACATGAAGGTTAACTGCAATTATCTTTACATTGCTTGACTTTTTGATGGGGAAAGATGGTGATCCTTTCATTTTGGGCAGAGCTGTGTAGTTCAAACATGCAGTACAACTGGAATATCTTCACCAAATCTAAGGATTAGACACATGACAGACTTTAAGGGTGCTGGCACATTAATTTTTTTAAATTTATGTTTTAGGGTCTTGTACGACTGGAAAGAACGCTTGAAACAAGGCTGTGAAATCATTGAGACTACTCCCTACGGACGCCCTGCCAACATCAGCGGGGGCACGTCTTCACAGCGGGTCTACATCACTTACCGGAGAGCCTCTGAGAACATGACCCAAAACACGCTGGCTGTCACAGACATATGCATTATCATACCCAGTAAGGGAGAAAGCCCTCCACACACATTCTGTAAGGTGGACAAGAACCTCAGTAATAGTATGGTAAGTCACTCTTTCATACTGAGTGAATTAGCCACTGATAAAATAACAGAATAAAAAGGGGGAGAAAAAATGTTATACAAGATGTTCACATCTTAGTTTAGGAAACTACTTTAGTTGTCCTTTCAGAAGGAGTTGTGCAGAACTTTTCCTCTTCATTCTTATTTTATTTAAAAATAGCTTTTTTTTTTTTTTTGGTGGGCTGGGTTGGTGGATTGAGTTGGGCGAGGGAGATAGCTCAAATGGTAGAGCACATGCCTAGTACTTGATGTCCTGAGTTTGATCCGTGATACCCCGTGGCCCCCTTAGCACAATCACCAAACATCTGGCTCATCCTGCCAGACTGGGATGGCCAAGCATCACCAGGTATGGTCCCTGTTAAAAAGACATATACAGATACAGGGGGCTGGAGTGATAGCACAGCGGGTAGGGCGTTTGGCTTGCACGCGGCCGACCTGGGTTCGAATCCCGGCATCCCATATGGTCCCCTGAGCACCGCCAGGAGTCATTCCTGAGTGCAGGAGCCAGGAGTGACCCCCTGTGCATCGCCAGGTGTGACTCAAAAACCAAAAAAAAAAAAACAACGTATACAAGTCCGTCTTTGTATGAGGTGAATCCTATACCCTGTCATGCACTTGAGGGTTTCTTACCCCTCCCGTGTCACAGCTGTGGCCCACGGCAGCCTCATTTTTTAGTGGCATTAGGACAGTAGTCTCCTGTTGTGGGAAAGAACTGAACTGGTTAGCAAGTTAGGTTTGGGGACCATGTAAGTCTCTCTCGCATAGTCAGTTTTTTTTTCTATACACAATCTTTTAAAAAAATGTAATAATCATTCTTACTTAAGGCTTTTTTTTAAATAAAAAAAAAAAGAAAGGCCTTCTGGTGAAATGCAGGTTACAGTTTGCCAGATTTCTGGTCTAACCGAACCCTGGTTCCACATTTTTCCTATCACTCTTCTTCGTGTAGCCACACACATGATCCTTTCTTAAAACACAGATTAGATCATATAATTTCTCCACTTATAATCATACGTGGCTTTCTCTTTCCAGTAAAAACTAAATTAAATATTTTTATTTAATAATACACAAGGCTATTGTGAACATGGTCACAACAAAATATCCGTAAAATAACTTAGCTTCATTGCGCTATTATGATTATACACTAGTCTAAGTCTCTCAGTGAATCCTCACAGCCACACTGTGTCTGTTTCCCCCTCACATCTGCCCATCGCTGAGGACTTAGATGGGGTGACAGCAGCGTATCCCTGAAAGATTTAAATTTTCACTCTCGTTAACCAGTGTTGCAGAAATAAAACAAAGCCGTAGCATTAAGAAAGAATAAAGCTAGATTACTTATATTACTAGATATTAAATTTTATTGGAAGTAAAAAACAAAAAACTTCATAAGGAAATTAACTGATTAAACATTTTTCCAAGCCTCCTCAGCAGACTTATATATTAAATTTTTATGTCCGTATTATTAAATAAAAATATATAATCAAACTGCTTTATGCTAAGGTAGAATGAATGAAATCATGGCACATTCACTTAATGCAGCAATTTTCAGTTGTTCAGTATTCTTATATATTTAAAGATATTCTATCTCCATAATAAGGTAATCAAAGTAATGTCCTTCACTTAGGACATTAAATTATGGTCATTGGTGGGGGGAGGCAGTTGGGCACACCCATTAGTGCTCAGAACTCCTGACTCTGCATTTAGAAAAGGCTCCTGGTTGGACTTGGGGAAGCATCTGGGGTGCCAGGGATGGAACTTGGGACCACATGGAAGGCCAGTGTCCTCCCCGCTATGCCCTCACTCCAGTTCCTGAATTGTGCTCATTTGTGTGTTAGAATTTTTGTAGGTATTTTGATATTTTTACGTCCCACACGGGATGTACACCAGATATTTAGTTTTTCAGATGAAGTTTTTGAAGGAAGAGAAATAAAATAGGATCACTTGGGAATCGTAGAGACCAAAGGAATGAAATGAAAAGCATTAATTTAAAGATACAGTAAAAGTTATTGATGCTGAAGAAAAAGAAGCAGGGCTTAAAACTGCAAGAGTGTTTCAAAACATTTTCCACTTACACAGTTCAGCAAAAGGGAAAGTAGGAGAAAACATGGTTCTAAAAATACTTTCAAAAAAAAAAAAACTTTCCAGTATGCTGTTAAGCTCTTTGGCGCTGTAAGTGTCCATAATGTGGTTTACCACAGCAAAACCTTACATTCAGATGCCCTTTCCCCTGCAGGACCATCTTGTCTTATTTTGTGTTGTGCTGGGAGAAGCCCAGATCTCCTGCCAGTAAGATTCGCACTTTCCCAGCCCAATCTGTTTGCTTTAGGAGAAAGAACGGATTTGGCCAAGCTTAGTGGGTCGCTCCGTGTCCATGCAACAGCCATTACTAGACAGAGGTTCACTTGGCCAAGTGTTTACTTGGTCAAGTGTTGCGTGAGTATTCCCTGGTCTTTGAGCATTGCTTGGAAGCACTCAAAAGAAAAAAAAAATCAACCCAGTAATTAGGAATTTAAAAGGAAGCCATAAAAGGATATATTCCACATATCACTCTTTAAAGTAGAAATGTTAACAAAGCAGTAATATATCACTGAGCATATTTTTTTAATTTAATTTTTTTGAGTCACAGTAAGATGGAGAAGAAACCACGATTTGAGCATTTTTATGTGCTAGAATTTCTTTAAACGCATGTGAATGAAATGTACCAGCCTCAGGCTAATTCTGGGGGACAGGAAGGGGTGGAAGATGGGGCTTTAGCTAAAATTGTCGGTTTCGTTTTTTTACAAATTAAAATATCTGAAACAAATATGGTAAATAGCATTTATCAGATGGAGCTCCTGAGTAAATACACGTCTTTATAAGAGTCTCTTCTTATTAAGAGTAGATTTCTTCTTTTGGTTTCCAAGTCTTCTGTTCTTCCTCCCTGCCTGCCTTCCTTTCATCGAGAAAACATCAGCATATACAACTCTACAGATTTTCGGGTTAAAGTTTAATATCTCTTCAAAGTATGTACCACAGGGCCACCCGCCACTGCAGTGCCAGCATTCCAGGGTCACAGCCCCCGTCCTCACTTCTTCCTTTCTGCCTCCCTGTCTGCGAACCACATGTCTGGAAAGTAAACTCATAGCTCTGTTTCTCTTGGTTTTGTCTGTTCACTTGCTTATTTACCTTCTTATCCCACATATGAGTCAGAGCATTGTAATATTTGTCTTTCTCTTTCTGACTTGCTTTGTTGTTAGCATAAGCCCCCTCTAGTTCTCTCCATGTTTTCACAAAAGACAAGGTTTCACCTTTTCTTCTTGCTGAATCGTGTTCCATTGTGTCTGTGTGCCATATCTGTTTAATCTAGATGTATATTTTGTTTGTCTCTGCACCACACCTGGCTATGCCAGGGTTTATTCGTGACTCTGATCAGGGGTTGCTCCCAGCAGTGCTCAGGGAATTATATGTGGCATGGGACTGTGTGTAGAACAGGTGCCTTACCTGCTAGACTATCTCTCCAGCCCCCATGTTTTCTGTATTCATTCATCTGTCATGAGGTGCTTGTGGTGTTCTCATGTCCTGGCTATTGTAAACAGCACTGCAGTGAGTATAGGTGTGCATGTAGTAAAAATATTTCTTAAAATAGATTTATATTTTCTGCGTGTTTGTGTTCATTGTTATGATCCTTTCCTCATATGCTTCCATTCACACGAATACTCTACCATGTATGCACAAATACACTCTCACATTGATTCATTTGACAAGGAGTTATTGAACATTTATGTATGTTAGGTAGTGGTATCGATGTGAACAAAACAAAGCACTTATGGATCATGGATCTTATCTTCTCTAGCGGTGAGAGACAGATAATATATATAATAATATGCCAACTGCTGGTAGGTACTGTGGAGGAGAGAGCAGTGTGAGACCAGGGGACTAGGCAGGACTGGGCAGAACAGAGGGGAGCTTGTTCCAGTAACTGCGACGAAAGAAGGGCTCCTTACCTCCAAAAGTAGTATTTGAGTTGAGTCCTGAAGAGGTGAGGCAATGTGTTCTGTGAATGTCTCTCACCACCTACATGTCAGTAGGTGACGTCTCCTGAGTTCCATTCCCACTTTTCTCTCTTGCCATAACTTCCTTTGATTCTTCACATGGGGGCCAACCAAGTGTTTCCAACCAAGTACAGCACATCTAAAACGGAGCTTTTCTCCTGATACAAGTGTGCCTACCTGATCGTCTTTCCCATCTTGCTGACACCTGGCACTAGAAATTTGAAACTCCTTTGTGTATTGCTGTTATTTAAAACCATGGGACAGTATATGGGATCATTTAAAGTAAAGATCACATTCAATGATCAGGAAAAGAGAAAGAACTATGAAGGAGACAGGAATGGCCAGAGATTTGGTGCAGAGGCACCCATGAGAGTATGAAGTCCCAAAAGTTCAAGAAAAGAAAAATGTTTCAACAGGGGTGTCATTTTAAATGTATAAATATTGTGGGGGGGGGAGTTCATTGTTTGGGGGCCACATACTGCAGTGCTCAGGGCTTACTCCTGGTTCTTTATCAAGGATCTCTCCTGGCAGAGCTCAAGGAATCATAAGGGGGTGCTGGAGGTTGAACCCAGGTTGGCCACGTGCAAGGCAAGCACCCTACCTGCTGTACTATCTCTCCCACACCTAATGATACAAAAACTTGCTGAGAAATTGAATAAGCTAATGATTAGAAATCAACAATTCAATTTAGTATCATTAAAGTTGGTTAAGGTGTTCTTTTAAGGAACTGGTAGGATGAAAACCAAATTTGAAATGGATTCAAGAGGGAACAGGAAATAGGAAATGGATCTAGCAAAATTTCACTGAAGTTCTGGCACAGAGAACTGCAGAAAAACCTGGCAATACCTAAAAGGGAGAAAATCAAATGGAACGTATACTCATGAGTAGATGTTGGCTAATCATTTTTCCTTGAAATATGATCTTAGAATTAAATTGTTGCAACTTAGACTTGTTTTATTTTACTTTATGCTATTTGCAGAAGAGGAAATGATGGGGTCACTATGCAAGGAATTGAACCCAGTACCTAATGGTCATCCTGAATTGTACCTTTGAGCTGCATCTCTTGTTCCCTGGTTTTGTTTTAAAGGCTCACGTTTCCTCAAGAAGGGGCCAGAGCAATTGCATAGCGGATGAGGTGTTGGCCTTGCATGTCACACACCTGGTTCTGATCCCCGGCATCCCACATGGCCCAACAGGAGTGATTCCTGAATGTAGAGCCAGGAGTAAGCCCTGACACCAGTGGGTGTGACCCCCAAACAAAAGACTTTTCCTCATGTTATTACTGTGGAGAAAAAGATTAAATTTTACTTCTAGAAGAAAAGTTGATAATAACTCCAATGAAAGGCTGACAATAGCTGATGAAATATTGAACATAAATCTGTTACTAAATCTTAAAGGTAGTAGAGAAATCAAAGAGATGTTTTTTTAAATTGTTCTCTTTTAAAATAAAATATTCTCTCTCTTTGTTTTTTAATTCAGTGGGGGTCAGCTGTGTACTTATGTTATAAAAAATCGGTGGCAAAGACTAATACTATATCATACAAAGCTGGTAAGTATAACTTTTCTATGAAATAGTTTAAGACATATTCTGGTGGTTACAGAGCAGAGATGACACTGTGTGTGTGTGTGTGTGTGTGTGTGTGTGTGTGTGTGTTTTATTTTTTATGGGCTACATCTGGCCTTGCTTAGGGATAATTCCTGACTCTGAGTTCAGGAATTACTCCTGACTGTGCTCAGGGGACCATATGGGTTACCAGGGATTAACCTAGGTCAGCCCCGTGCAAAACAAATGCCCTACACACTGTACTATCTTTCCAGCCTTAATGACACTCTTTTTGTGGCACCTGGGGCCCAGTGGCAGCATGGGTGGTGCCAGGGACAAAGCTAAGTGAGCAGGTGGGCACTTCAAATCAGCCAGATCCCACAGTTCAAAAATTACTTTTAAAGAAGACAGACATTTTCTTTTGAGGAGTTTGGTGAGCCACACCCTGCAGTGCTCAGGCAGGGCTTACTCTTGGCCCTGTGCTCAGGGATCATTCCTGGTGGCACTTGGGGGACCGTACGGGATGCCCGAGATCAAAATCAGATCATGGGGCTGGAGAGATAATTGTTTGCAGCCATCCTGGGTATTTTCCATCCCATATGGTCCCCTGAGCCTGCCAGGGGTGATTTCCTGAGCACAGAGCTGGGAGTTATCCCTGAGTATCACTGGGCGTGGCCCAGAAACAAAAACAGAAAAGGAAACTGGTTCTATTTTGTGTAAGGCAAGTACCCTACTTGCTGTACTGTTGCTCTGGATCCACCTTTTAAATATTCTACTATCCACCTTTTAAAGAGTTTACTCTCCTGTCTTTTTCTTCTTCCTCTGATTTTCTAGGCTCCATAATTTATTACTATTTCTGTCTTTAAAAGTGCTCAATAAAAGGTGCCTGGGCCACTCTCTAGACTAGTCTACTTAATGGGAAGTCATGGACTATTTGAAACTTTATATAACTTGGGGCTTTTCAGAATCCCAGCTTGTGTTGAAATATATTGAAGACATTGCAAGTGTGTGACTCTTTTTCCATATTTTTTGGGTATTTGTACTGGATGTTCCATATGTAATCCTACGGGAAGCTGTTTTAATAGATGTAAAATAAAATCCTGGGGCAGAATTTTTGAGAGTTTACAAACTGAATAATGGGTCTCCAAATTGAAGTTTTCATGTTTGCAGGTAGCGTGACCACAAACTAAATTATTGGGAGTATATTTGTGCATTTTTCCTTAGAATTTTGTTTCTTATATGCCTTAGTCTTTGGGGATGATGTGTGACCAATATTAAAGATAAACTACTATAAATGATTATGTGTGAAGAGTAGATTTTATATGAAGCATAAAAATATAAAAATTATATAATAATATTAAAAACATATTATTTGATGATTACATAGGTAACATCTTGACCTTCAAAATATGCTCAATAATAAAGCCTTTTGCATTAGGTATATAATGCCTTAACCCTGACTAATTCATGTAATCTCCAGCCCTAAGCCCCTTAGAACTGTCTTACCCAAGAGATAGGGGAAAATATATGACCCTGATTCCTGTATTAGAAGTTTAAGTGACTTAAAAATTTATATTTCTGAAAGTACATCTTGGTTGATTGACTTTATAATGTAATTATTCAGATGTAATACTTTGATAAGTTTTCATCTGAGCACTCCACTTAAATCTTGAGAAGTTGGATGATAATGTTTAAAAAATTTGGATCTCCCATTTCAATTTATTAAACTTTAAAATCATGAGTGTTAAAATAATAATAATAATAAACCCTTTTCAAATGATAAGCATCTATAAATTTTTAGAGTTGATGATTCTAACATTTGTTGTTGTTTTTATAGGTCTAATTTGTAGGTATCCTCAAGAAGATTATGAGTCATTCTCACTACCAGAATCTGTTCCCCTATTTTGTTTACCAATGGGCGCAACCATTGAATGTTGGCCACCAAATAGCAAATACCCTCTCCCAGTATTTTCTACTTTTGTGTTAACTGGAGCCTCAGCTGAAAAGGTACTGTGCATTTTGACAAATGATACCTGCACATTTCTTTGACATTTTCAAGTCTTATTTTTAATATAGCAAAAGTGGTGGAATTGGCTCTGTGTTGAGCGCCTTTCCCTCCCAGTTGTGGTCGTCAGATCTGGAGGCAGTTTTGGAGGCATCTGCTCTGTCCCATACACCCCCTTACATTTTTTTGTGAATCCAGTGAAAGATGTTTTTCAGTCACCAAATAATGATTCTTCATTTTCTGTGATGTAAAAACTCAGAAAGTAGTACAGAAAACATGATCAAAGTTATGATGACATAAAGCTGTTTGGAATTGTAGACTGTTGTGATTGGAGGGGCCCTTGGGAACCTCCTCATCTCATCACTGTATCACTGTCTTCCTGTTGTTCATCAATTGTCTTGAGCAGGCCCCAGTAAAGTCTCCTTCGTCCTAGCCCTGAGATTTTAAAAAGTGCCACATTCGAGGCTCTTTCAGGGTCAGGAGAATGAGACCCATCATTGTTACTGGTTTTTGGCATGTTGACTATGCCACGGGGAGTTTGCCAGACTCTGCTGTGTGGGCAGGATACTTTTGGTAGCCTGCCAGGTTCTCCAGAGTAAGAACTAGATGATAAGATGTCACGCGGTCGCGGAGCAAGGTTTTATAGTCTCTGGGTCTTGGCCGTTGATGGGATTACACGGCGCCGGGGGACAGTTGGTGGGTGTAACGCCTACATACTGGAAGATGGGGGATATGGGTGGAGGAGGCCCCAGTCCCAATCCGAGCAGTCTTGGAGATCTACATCCTGGGTCCCACACACCTGGGTTCCTCTACTGGTTCTTTCATGTGTGAGGCTCATCCGAATGACCTCGTCTCATACTCTCACTTTACAAATTAGAAAATTAAGTTCGAGGAAATTCACTGAATGATCTAAGTGAAATTTATATTTTCTTCTTTAAAAAAATTTTTAATATTATTTAAGTAATAGGGTTACAACATGGCTCAAGTAGATGGCATTGATGCAGAAGGTTGCCGTACCACACTGTCCGGTGCCCAGACCTCCACCCCAAGTCACCTCTGGTCCAACCTTTCTTCTGACCCAGCCTATCCCTCGTTCCTTGGTGATTGGCAGCCATGGTTTGGGTACCTGACTGCTCTGTGAGCATTACCTATGTGCTCCGGACCTTTCGCCTTTGTTTCTCAGTTTCTGCCCATCAACCCTTCTGCTTTCCTCCTAGATCTGGTAGTGTCAAGTCTGTATTCCTGTGTTATGATCAGCTGATACTGTCCAGCCCTTGATTTGTTTCTCGGAGCAATAGCACAGTGGGTAAGGCATTTGCCTTGCACATGGCCAACCCAGATTCAATTCCTTCGTCCCTCTTGGAGAGCCTGGCAAGCTGCTGAGAGTTTCCCACCCACACAGCAGAGCCTGGCAAGCTCCCCGTAGTGTATTCGATATGCCAAAACAGTAACAACAAGTCTCACAATGGAGATGTTACTGGTGCCCGCTCAAGCAAATCCATGAACAACGGGAGGACAGTGCTATAGTACTACATACCACAAATTTATATTTTCTAATCTAAAATCCTATCCCTTTGTCTACCAAAGCATTTTCTCATTTCCTTTCTTTTTTTCCCAAATAGGAAAAAAAAACACCCCACTTTGGGGTGTTTTGGGCACCTCCAGGGCTCACCCAGTGGTGCTCAGCAAGGTTGCTAGGGAGTGGGGTCACACAGTGATCAGGATAGAACGTGAGGCTTTGCTTGCAGGACTTTCTAAACTAACTTTCCAGCATCTCCACCTTTTTTTCCTTCCTACCTGCTGTTCAAGAATATATTAATACATCTCTTTTTTTCCACATTTTACATATAGACCAAATGAAATTTAGTTAAACCACTTCCAATTCAAAAATAAGAAGATATGGGAGTAGCACTGTGTAGTTCCATTACATACTTTAAAAATGGAAGTGTGAAGGTCCAGGGAAATAGTTCAAGGGTGGAGTATATCCTGGCATGAGCATATCCTTGCATTTGCAAGGCACTGAGTTCAATCAGTGGTACTTTGGGAGCCCCCAGACCTCACTGAGTATAACTCCATCTGCCCCCACCACTGCCGGCCCAGGCTGCATTGCTCAGCATTGACCCAGCCAGCCGGGTATCATCACCAAGAAGGGCCTCAGATCACTGCCTTGGAGACCCAAAAGGTAAATTATAAAACAGTAAAATAAAGCAAAATTGATATCTGTCCACTATTATCTTCCTGGCCTCTGACACTTAACCTGGCTTATAGGTTTGTGATGCTTCCTAATCATTTGCCCATTGATTATTTAATGGATGATGCAATTTAGAGAAGTAAGGTAAGGCATACTTATTAAATATTGACTTGTTTTCTAGGTCTATGGTGCTGCTATTCAGTTCTATGAACCATACCCTGAAGAAAATCTCGCAGAAAAGCAGAGACTTCTTTTGGGCTTAACTTCATCAGCAGATGGGAAGTCTGACAGTTCCAAAACAATCCAGACTAATAAGTGCATCTGTCTCCTTTCCCACTGGCCTTTCTTTGATGCGTTCAGAAAATTTCTGACTTTCCTGTATCGTTATTCCATCTCTGGACCTCACGTGCTTCCCATTGAGAAGTAAGTTAGAAGTCTTCATTCAGTGTTTTAGATCTTTCCTTAGGTGATGTATCTATGCTGGTAATTGAGTAAATTTTATATGAAGACTATCTACCGCAAAGAGTTATTTGAAAAAAGAAGTCTGGTTGTTTCAGTAAGATACTGTTTCTCCATTATACTTATGGAGCCACATTATTTTATATCTCTAACAAAATTAAATGTTTCATTGGTGATGTTTTTATAAAGTTTAGATCCTACTTACAATTGTAATAATTTTACAATTCTTATATATATATAATTTGGAATTATTTAAATATTTTTAAATACTTTCAAATATTTCTTACTATTTTAGGTATTACAGAGTAAACATTTGTTGAACAGACTTTGTGAAATTTTAGTGATTTAAAATCAAATGTTTTATTCAGTAAGATCAAATGCAAATGAGATCTAAGTATCTTCATTGTGTTTTGACTATTGTTTATTTTATACCAGCTATCACTTAAGCTCTTTTGTCTTCTCAGGCAGAATGCTGTGACTCTAAAGACAGTTGGGAAATACTAGACCTATCTTAAGAACAATCAGTAAATAATATTATTGTTCTCTAATTTTTTCCTTGTACTTTTCTACCCCATCTGAGTATTCTAATCCAGTTTTCATTTTTTTTTAAATCTCAGGAGAGTATGCTTTTAATAAGGCTACTGTTAACTCATTTAAAAGTAATAAGCTCATTATATGTTAACATAAATATCTTTTTAAAATTAAACAAGAAATATTTGTGAGAAGAGTGACATTTTTGATTCTAATGACATTTTGATTCTTTAGTGTTTGGCATCATTGAACAGTAGCTAGGTTGTCAATGTGTTTCTGTATCCATTTTGTTACAACTTTTTGTTATATTGAAGCACAGTTTTAAAATTGGCCTCAGATAAGTGGAAAAGAAAAAAAACTTGAATATATTTTCAGGAAATTGTGAATTTTCTTTTTGGACCTGGCACCTTTTGGAAACTTTGGAAAGCAAATTTTCTAGTAGGCTGTTTTCAGCGTGGTATTTTAGACTTCAACTAAGTTAAAATCCATATTCTGATTGACTTCTCAAGTTGAACTTGTACAACTGCATGATTTTTCAGCATTATATATTGTTTATTTGGAGAATATTGCTTCACTTGGGTTAATGTAGTTGCATTTATCATCAGTATAAAAATACATTTATTAGTATCAGCACTTGTCTTATCAGAAAGATTTCTGAGTACCAAGAATGCCAAGTTCATAGTACAAAATTTTAATTTTCAGTTGGAAACCTGAATTTATTTATTGACATGTACTGTAGCTTATCTTTCTTGAAGCAACAGGTTCACTCCAATTTTTTTCCTTAAAGAAAAATATACTTTAAATAAGTTTAGTTTGTCAGTCATTTTATTTATTTATTTATTTATTTATTGGTTTAGTTTTTATTTTGGGGCCACACACCGTGGTACTCAGGGATTACTCCTGGCTCTTCGGTCAGGAATCACTCCTGACAGTGCACAGGGATGCCAGGAGTAGAGCCTGGGTCAGCTGCGTACAAGGCAACTGCTTTACCCATGCTCCTATGGCTCTGGCCCCAGCCATTTTATCATTTTATTTTAAATGGCATTCAGTGGGGGAAAACAATCCCAAACCACTAATTCACTCACAACTCAGTTAAACAAAGTCAGTCATCAGAGAGGTCTGTAGATAGCAGAAGTGCTTTCTGTTTTCTTCCCCTTATAGTTTGCAGATTACTTAAAAAAGTATGTATTGTGGGGCTAAAATTTCATCATGGTCGTGTTATTGCTTCACCAAAGCCATTCCTAAGAAAAATGACCTTCTTGTACTGTAAGAGAGCAAAGTATTACAAGAATACAGCGAGCACTAGTACAGGTTTGATACTGCTGTCTTGGCTCAAAGTAAAATGCCAAAACTGTTATCTGCAATGCTTCTCCACTCTCAGGGTGAATACCAATCAGGGAATGAAGAAATGATGTCTTATTGTTATGATCATTACACAAAACTAGCTTGAGCCTTGAATTCCGCCTGAAACTATCTATAGGATGCTTTGACTTTTGTGAATTCTTTTTTCTGCTGCTCTGACTGCTTCAGGCAATTCAAGCAGATGTTTGTTGCCCTAGTTTCTGTTAATTTCTCTTTTGGTTTGACTTTCTCTTCCCTTTTTGTTTTTTGGTATCCGGAATTGAACCTGGCACCTGATACACGGTCATCCACTCAACCACTGGGCCATATCTCTGGACTATCTCTATATTTTTGTTTGTTTGTGCAGACTGGGATCCCACCTTTATGGTGAAACTTGTTGATTCATGCCTTTTTCTTTTTAAACATTTCCCAACATTATCTCAAAATATCAAATAAAATCAAAACAGATATAAAATTAGTGATTTTTCTAGTCTTCTCTGTCTAGTTGAAATGTTCTCATTTTCAAACCACAGTGATTTTTTTTTTTCTTTTTGGGTCACACCCGGCGATGCACAGGGGTTACTTCTGGCTTTGCGCTCAGAAATTACTCCCAGCTGTGCTCAGAGAATCATATGGGATGCTGGGAATTGAACCTTGGTCGGCCGCATACAAGGGGAACGCCCTACCCACTGTACTATCGCTCCAGCCCCATTACAACGATTTTGAAGTAATGTTTAAAAGAAATAGAATTTCCCAAAACACATTTTTCACTATTACTGCATTTTTTTCTTGTGTTCAAAACAAGCCGTCATCAATCTAGTTTCTTACCCACATTTTCAGGGTGGGAAGGACTCTTAAAATCACTAATAGAATTACTTGTTTTTAATTTATTTTAGGAGCCCTTGAAGATGGTGGTCAGGGTATGCCCATCTATGCTTGAACAGGAAACTGGTAATCCAGTGCTAGGGCTGTGTCTTACTGGAGACCACCAGAGACCCTCAGAGGTCTTCAGGGACCTCTAAGCTTGCACCCAGGAGACTGAGGTGCTAGGCGTAGGGCCTTGGAGTGGCCTGTGCCAGACTCTGCACTGTCTGCCTTACCCAGTAATAGCTATACTACTATAAATTAGTTTAATTTATAACTTATTGTTGGTAGCAAGTATATTGTTCATATTTGTGAAAAGTTAAAGCATTCGTGGAGCTGGAGAGACAGTGTAGAGAGTAGGACTTGCCTTGAATGTGCTCAACCCAGATTCTATCCCTAGAACCCCATGTGGTCCCCTCAAACTTTGCCAGGAATGGTCCCTGAGCACAGAGCCAGGAGTAACCCCTGAGTACTACTGGGCATGACCCCAAAACAATAGCAGCCAAAATTAAACCATTTTGTTTTTCCAGAGAATTCTCAATGCAGGACCAGAGAGAATGGGTAAGGTATTTGCTCTGCATGTGGCTGACCAGGGTCCAGTCCCCAACCCCACATTCCCTCAAGTATCGCCAAGAGTTATTCTTGAGTGCAGAGCCAGGAGTAACCCCTGAGCATTACTGGGTGTGGCCCCAAAACAAAGCACAACAAAACCCCATAATTCTCAATGTTTCCTAAACCATGAGAAGTTGATTGAAAGACGTGTGTTATAAACTCAAGCTTCTTTAGTAAAGTATCCATGTCTTCGGTGTGTTTTTAGGGAGAGGTAAAACCAAAAAAAAAGTATTTCAGACACCAGTAAAATAAACATTGTTGAGTATGAACAACTGTTAATATGAAAAACTGATAGATTTAGGAAGAAACGGCTTTAATTGGACTATGGTCTTTGGTGGTAGTTTATTTACTTGTAGCAAAAGAGACTTCGAAATTATCGGTAAACAGAGCTTTGACTGAGCATGACCTTTGGGTAACATATTGACCTTTGTAGCATATGATATTCACTTTAGAATCAATTGGATTTTTGTGTTTTTTTTTAAAGGCATATTTCTCATTTTATGCATAAAGTTCCTTTTCCATCTCCTCAGAGACCACGGATTTTAGTTCAGGTAAGGTTTTCTTGATGTAAGTGACTTATTGAATGGTTTTCAGTTGACTTTATCAAAATGTAAAATAACTATTTTATTTTATTTCTTGACTTTTTGGGTCATACCTGGCAATGCTCAGGGGTTACTCCTGGCTCTGCACTCAGGAATCACTCCTGACAGTGCTCAGGGGACCATATGAGATTCCGGGGATCGAACCCAGATTGATACATGCAAGGCAAATTTCCTACTGCTGTACTATCGCTCTGACCCCTAACATAACAATTTTAAAGGGGGAAAAGTGAGATCAGATGATAACCGGATGTTATTTAATGTTGGAGTTTAGTTGTTTGGGTGGTGCCAGGAGTTGAATCCAGGTCCCTACACATGCAAGACAAGTGCTCTACTACTACCACATCTCATGCCAGTGAGGGAAGCTTTTGTTCTTTTAATTGCCTCCCAAACAGGCCTCTAATGATTGCCCTTAGGTAAATAAAAGGTTAAAGAGGTTGTTGTTGTTGTTGTTGTTTTAAAAAAGAAAGTAGGACCAGTAAATCATTCTGAACACACAGGAGAAGGAACTTTGCATAAATCCAATAATACCATCAGGGTATTAATTTGTGCCTTTGGCACTTATTCCCTATTGGATTAGAGAGAAGGGAAACATGTTACAGAAAGGGAACCCTCATGTCTTTGTGACACTGGGACTGGGAATATTTAAGATAACTATAAAGTCGTAGATTGCTTTTCCCATTTTTGTTCCCAGTGGACTGTATCTTGCTCTTTGGTTTACCTTTTATTTTTCTGGGCACCAAAGACTGAATTGAAGTCCTCGTAAATTCAAGGCCACATACTGTTTTTGTTTATGCTCATGATTTCTAAGTTTCTGCTTATTTAATCATCTAAGCAGAGGTTTCTATAAAGAAAATATTTTCATGTGTTATCACTTATAAGTGCCTTACTGTATTTATCACAGCACATGGTAGGGTATCATTCAAAATTAGAATTTATTTGGCAAGTAGATATCTGCAAACATGTGGGAATCTGCATAACTTAAAAATGTAGATAAAAGTATTATTGATGCAGGGCTGGAGCCATCGCACAGCAGTAGGGCGTTTGCCTTGCGTGCAGCCAGCCTGGCTGAACCCATTCGATTTCTCCGCCCCTCTTGGAGAGCCCGGCAAGCTACCAAGAGTATCTTGCCTGCACGGCAAAGCCTGGCAAGCTACCCGTGATGTATTCAATATGCCAAACACAGTAACAGCAAGTCCCAAAAATGGAGACGTTACTGGGCCCACTCGAGCAAATTGGTGAACAACAGGAGGACAGTGACAGTGACATTATTGATGCAGATTAAAAGTATCTCTAAAATATTTTTGGGGGGTAGTTGTTTTGGAGCTACACCCAACTGTGCTCGGGGGTAAATATTTGCTGGTTCTACATTAAGGGATCACTCGTGGCAGGCTTGGGGGACCATATGGGATGCCGAGGATTGAACCTGGCTTGGCTGATGCAAGGCAAGCGCCCTACCCACTGTACTTTCTTCAGCCCTCTAAAATATCATTTGCTTTCTAGTCCATTTATACAGCCATATACTAACCATGTCTTTGTTATTTATACATATTATGTACTATGCTACCCATGACATATTTGATATGCCAGAAACAGTAACAAGTCTCACAATGGAGACATTACTGGGCCCGCTTGAGCAAATCGATGAACAACAGGAGGACAGTGCTACTATATATTATGTGTTATATATTTATTGCCAGAGTATATCTAGCATACCCAGTTTGTATACACATAAAAACTTCATTCAGTGGTAGATTTTCTAATTTTTGTGTATTGAGGACCAAACAAAAATATTTCCATCTGTATAGGCCAAACAGTTTCTGTTGAAATGACTCAGTTGTGCTGTTATAGTGCCTAAGATCTATAGGTGGGTAATATGTGAGTGAATGAACAAGGCTGTATTCTAATAAAGCTTTTGCTTGTTTTGATTTTTGGGCCACACTTGGCAGAACTCAGGCCTTACTCCTGGCTCTGTGCTCAGGATCACTCCTGGCAGGCTCGGGGATCATACTGGGTGCTGGGAACCAAATCCAGGCTAGCTGGCCACATGCAAGGCAAGTGCCCTGCCTGCTGGGCTATTGCTCCAGCCCCAAAAAACCTGACTTTTCAAAACAGGAAGTCAGGGGCAGCCTTGTATGTGCAGGGACCTAGCTTCAATGCCCAGTACTTATAATCCCTATCACCATGAGGGACAGCCCTGTTGGCCTTAGCACTCTCAGTCCCAGGCACTGGACTTTCTGGCTCAGTTGACCTAGTTTCACTAGAAGTAACTCCCAGCTCACTATCCCCCCAAAATAAGAGGTCTCTGAATTTTCCCTGAAACCCCTAGGTATACTAATCCTGAGTTTTGTGATCTTAAGTGTATGCTTAAATTTTTCAGTACAAATTTGGTAAAATGGTACCAGAAAAACATTGAAGAAAAGGATAAAGATGTACTCAGGATAAAGAGGGATAGTAGTGAGCTGGGGAGACAAGTGGATGGACTGGAGCTCGTATGAGCCCTGGCTTCAGTCTCTGTGGCCCCCCAAGCAGCTGGGAGCAGCCCCGAAGCACTGCAGGGTGTGGTCTCCCAAAAGAAGAAGCAACAGAGGTCAGTGGACAGGCTTTAGTTTTCAGGAGCTTCATATGTAATACGTGTGCTATTTAATGGTTCTGTTGAAATGTCTCTGCATCACCAGTAGCCTGTATGTTTTTGAGAAAGTGGTATTTTGAAGTTCGTATTTATATTTAAAGTTCTTCATTTTGAATCTTACAGTTATCACCACATGATAATCTGATTCTCAGCCAGCCTGTGTCGTCACCTCTTCCACTCAGGCAAGCAAAACTTCATTTTTATTGGTCTCTATAATATTGTCGAAAGTAATATTTATATATTTTCTCTTTTTCTGTGGTAAAATTTCAAGTGTTCATGGGACTATTTCTTGCTAGACTGTTCTTATCTAAATTCCTGTTACTCACTACTTTAAGTTTTTCAAGAACAAAAGTCTCTGAGTCTTGGCCGTTGATGGGATTACACGGCGCCAGGGGGCCAGGTGGTGGGTGTGACCCCCGCCTACTGGGATTTGGAGGATCTGGGTGGAAGATGCTCGACTCCAGTCCGAGTAGGCTTGGAGATCTCGGCCCTGGAACCCGCGTGGCTTTGTCCCTCTGCCAGTACCTTCATGTGTGCGGAGAGTGGTCTCAGCATGGTGGTGGCTGGTCCTGGAGGTCTTCGGCTGCCGGAGCCCTGGTTGGGGCGGGGAGGAAAGCTCAACCCGCTCCCCTCCAAGGGGCCTCGGCGAGGAACAGCCAGGCGCGGGGGCAGAAGACTGCACTGTTCTCGTCCGGGAGCTGGATTTTATAGTCTCTGAGTCTTGGCCGCTGATGGGATTACACGGCGCCAGGGGGCCAGGTGGTGGGTGTGACTATAAAGAGACTATAAAATCCAGCTCCCGGAACCTTATCAGGACATCCTTTTATGACATTTTATTATCTCATTCCTACTTTGGACAAACTTGCAGGCTATCGAATGTAGCTTTCCCACAGGGCAGAGTCTGGCAAACTCCCCGTGGCGTACCCAATATGCCAAATACCAGTAACAATGATGGGTCTCATTCTCCTAAAGAGCCTTGAATATAATCTCAGGGCTAGGATGAAAGAGACGTTACTGGGGCCTGCTCGAGGCAATCGACGAATAACAGGATGATGAAATGAAAATGAAATGAAAGAACAAAAGAAAAAAGCTTTTATCATACTGTTTGGAAATTTGCGTGTCCATGTCTTATAATTACTGTTTCAGAGCTAAGCATATAATATTTAGAATGGGAAAGTAGTTCCTTTTAGCTTTAAATATTCCTTGAAAAACAAATTCACGTTTTTTTTTTCATTTCACCTCCAAGTAAAGATACTTATGAATATATTAACAGTCTTTCCCAGGGTGGGGAGGCATCTCCCGCTAGGGCACTGGAATGGTGGGGTAGGGTTTGTTATACTCAGGTATAGTTAGAGGATTTGTTTTCTCTGTTTTCTTAAAGAAGATAGATTTGGAGCCCAGGAATAGTACAGTGGTTTGGGCACATACATGCTGGACCTGAGTTTGACTCCCACTTATTGTGGTGCCCCCCAAGCATCATTTGATATAGCCCTGGGGGATCCTGAGCACAGCCAAAAGTTCCCCCACACCAGGGACTCTGCTTCCTCAGGCTCGTGCATTGACCTTAGCCACAGTTGGCTGGGAATTGCCTGTGAAACCCCCTGAGCACTACTTGGGGGTGCAAACAAAGGAAATTAAGGGGCTACAAAGACAGTACAGGGGGCAAGGCACAGAGCCAGGAATAAGACATGCTCACTCCCAGGTGTGACCCCAGAACCAAAAGAAAAGAAAAGAAAAGAAAAGGGAGAGGGAAGAAAGGGAAGGAGGGAAAGCTAGAGAAAGAAAAAGATGAGAAAATGAGAAATAAAGAAAGCTAGCTTTTGAGGAGACTGATAAGTGAATTTTTTTTCAAATGGGGTGGTAGGCTGAATTTGGGTAGGCTGAATTTGGGGAAACCTCTGAACAAGAACCATGTATTTAATCTTTGACCGCTCAAAGAAATTATGAAATAAGGTTTCTCTAAAGTGTAAGTTTATGAAATTTAATTAGTACTTAACTTTTCAGCAGAAACAGCTATAATTACATTATTTGGTAGTACACGCTTAAGGGACATCAGATTCCATTTTTTTACATTAATTTTGTAATATTTGCAGATTATTTCATCACTAGTTCCTGGCCTGCCCAGAGTGATTGGTGTTTTCTTAACCTTTGACTGGAAATAAACTAGAAATACTGATTAAGACTATATAAAAACAAATTAAATTACCCCAGAGACCTTTTTTTTTTTCAGTAATAGCTATGTTGATATGTATTACACAACACATCCAATTAAATTGTACTGTTCAGTGATTATAGTTACAAGAGTTTTGCTATCACTCTAACCAATTTTATAACTTTAGAATATTGTTGTTTCTACACATAGAAACACAACACACATTGACTCCTTCCCAGACTTTGTATAAACACTAATCTTAATGTCTCTATAGATTTGCCTGTTCTGGACATTTCAACTCAGTGAATCATATCAGATATGATCTTTTGTGGTGGCTTCTTCCATGTAGCATTTTTTCCAAGTTCATCCACATTGAAGCATGGAGCATTAACGCATTTCTGTACATGTACAGAAAATATCTTTATTGTAGGAAGATAATCCCATTTAATTTTTTCATTCATCAAGTGATGAACATTTGGTTGTTTGCTATCTCAGACTACCATGAATTCTGCTACAAACATACACAGAATTTTCTGGATCTATTTTTACATTTCCATGATACTTTTATTATTTTGCTTTATGTAAAATATATGTTTGGGTTATATTATTAGAGTTATTTGAAAAATATAGTAATTTAGTGAAGACAGTTAGCATTATATAGGCAAAATACTTGTTGCCTAACTTAATTACTTACTTTGTCAGTTCAGTATTTTGCTTACGATACATGTAAGTTTAGTTATTAATTTTCTTTGTTTGTATATCTCATTACTTGCTGTCTTTGGTTTTAACATTGCTTTTATCATAATACCACAGATACCTGAATTATTGTAAATTCAGTTTTTTGGTACCCATCAAACCCAGGCTCATAGATGCGTAGCATGTGCTGTACTGCTGAGCTACATTCCTGGCCCATAAATCCAAATTTTAATGTGTCTTTACTTGTTTTTTGTTTTGTTTTTGTTTTTGTTTTTGTTTTTTTTGCTTTTTGAGTCATACCCAGCGATGCACAGGGGTTACTCCTGGCTCTGCATTCAGGAGTTACTCCTGGCGGTGCTCATATGGGATGCTGGGGATCGAACCTGGATCGGCCACACCAGGCAAATGCCCTACCTGCTGTGCTATCTCTCCAGCCCCTGTGTCTTTATTTTTAAGGTGATGGGTCTGTAAATTTCTCTGATAGTTACAGTGAAAGAAGATCCATGTTAAAAAAAAAAAACTCTCATAAAATAGTTGCTTTCTGCCAAAGCATCTGTCTTTTTTTTTTTTGAGTGTATAATTTCTCTTCCTTTATTTTTTTATTAGTGAGACACCATGAGGTACAGTTGTAGACTTACAAATTTTGTGCTTGGGTTTCAATTATACAATTATCAAATACCCATCCCTCTACCAGTGCCCATTTCCCACCACCACGGATCCCAGTATCCCTCTCACCCCCGAGCCCCCTCATCCCACCCTGCCTCTGTGGCAGGGCATTCCCCTCTGTTCTATCTCTCCTTTTGGGTGTTGTGGTTTGCAAAAGAGGCATTGAGTGGCAGTCTTGTTTGGTCTATAGAGAAGAGATGACTGGTTAAAGAAACTTTGGTACATTTACACAGGAGTACTATGTAGCTGATAGAAAAGATGAAGTCATGAAATTGACATACAAGTGGTACTACATGGAAAGTATCATGTTAAGAGAAATGAGCCAGAAAGAGAGGGATAGACATAGAAAGATTGCATTCATCTGGGGAACATAAAGTAACAGAATAGGAGACTAACACCCAAGAATGGCCGAGATTAGTACCAGGAATTTTGCTCCATGGCTTGGAGGCCAGCCACACATGCTAGGGGCAAAGGCAGCTCAGATAGAGAAGGGAGCACCAAATAAAGGGTGTTGGGAGGATCATCCCAGGATGGGAGAAGCAAGCATCCGTCTTTTATATAGTGAATTGTCGGGAGGGCCACACCTGGCAATGCTCAGGGGTTACTTCTGGCTCTGCACTCAGAGATCACTCCTGACAGTGCTCAGGGGACTATATTGAATGCTAGGACTCGAACCCAAGTTGGCTGCATACAAGGCAAATGCCTTACCTTCTTCATTGCTCCAGCCCCCAATACTTTTTTTTATTGAACATTACCTACAAGGGAGATACTTACTCACTCTTTCTTTCTTTCTTTCTTTCTTTCTTTTTGCTTTTTGGGTCACACCCAGCACCCAGCAGTACACAGAGGTTACTTCTGGCTCATGCACTCAGGAATTACTCCTGGCAGTGCTCAGGGAACCATATGGGATGCTGGGAATCGAACCCAGGTTGACCACGTGCAAGGCCCTACCTGCTGTGCTATCGCTCCCGGCCCCTTTATTTTTATTTTAATTTTATTTTGTTCTGTCTTGTTTTATTTTTGGTTTTGGCGCCACACCCAGCAGTGTTCAGGGCTTATTTCTGCCTCTGCTTGGGATCACTCCTGGTGGAGCTCAGAGGACCATATGAGGTGCCGGCAATCAAACCTGGACCAGCTGACTGCCAGGCTAGCACCTTACCTGCTGTACTATCTGTCTGCTTTCTTACCTTCATTTTTTCTATAACTTGAAGCAGATGGCTTTTTATTTTCCTATGGTGCAGAAGAACCAAATTATTTTGAAATGTCACAAAAATTGCCCTGTTTGCAAGTGTTTCTGCTATAGTGTTTTCCACATGTAACTGCAGCACTGACATTTAAGGATCAGTGACTCAATAATAGAAAATTGTGTCCTAAAAATGAACTTTACTCATAATTTTGTAGAACAAGGTGCTGGATCATTATCTCTTTAATTATGTCTTGTGGTTCAAATTGACAGTGGTGGAAAGTTTTCAACACTACTCCAGAATTTAGGCCCTGAAAATGCTGTGACTCTGCTGGTGTTTGCAGTGACCGAGCACAAGATTCTCATTCATTCCCTGCGGCCCTCCGTGCTCACTAGTGTAACAGAGGCCCTGGTATCCGTGAGTATCACAGTTTCCTTATCCCCATCAGTATTATTTTAAACCTAATTTGTTCCTATAATTCCGAGCTATTTTCATGTGTCACTAAAATCCAGAGAGTACTTATTTTTTTGTTGTTGTCAAAAAGTTTTAACCGTAGTAAAAGTGTAATTCATTATGAAGTCTTAGAACTCAGATATAAATAGTTCAGGTCAATTTTGTGTGCGCGGATAAATCAGGCCTTCATATCCGGCTGCTAAGTATTCTCTTCTCTTTTGTTCCTCCAAGATGATTTTCCCTTTCCACTGGCCGTGTCCCTATGTTCCTCTCTGCCCACTGGCTCTAGCCGACGTCTTGAGTGCACCGTGCCCTTTCATAGTAGGAATTGATTCCAGATACTTTGATCTCTATGACCCCCCACCAGATGTTAGTTGTGTTGATCTAGATACCAACACCATTTCACAGTAAGTACATATTAGTGATTCTGTGCACACTATAATCATTTACAACGTTATAGTGCATATATGTGTGTGTATAAATTGCTCATTTTTTAAATGCTAATTAGAATTTTGGGGGGGTTCATACTCAGCGGTGCTCAGGGGTTACTCCTGGCTCTTCACTCAGAAATTACTTCTGGCAGTGCTTCGGGCACGATATGGGATGCCAGGAATCGAACCCTGGTCAGGTACGTGCAAGGTAAACACTATAATATTGCCCATCCCCTATCCCTTGAGACCTGGAGTTTGTCGTCACTGAACCTGCGTACCTGCACTTCTCATTGGGTTCTGGAAGTTGGCAGCTGCTGGGGTCTGTAGGGGGCAGGTGGAGGGACGATGCCGGCCCGTGTCTGAGGCACCCAGTGTTCTCGGCCTGGCTTAAAGTCCAGGGGCATCTCTGCAGCCAGCTGCTCCATTCAGAGATTCTTTTGTGGGTCTCTGGATTATGGCCTTTGTTTCCATCTTTGCCAGGGAAATAAACTATTGGGTTATGCTCTGCAGGATGCACCATGCCACTGGCCCTCACTGTGGCTTTTGATCTCCTTTGAGGTTTATGGATCTCTGAAATAAGGCTAGTAAATGAGGTTGTATCGCTGAGCCAGAGGTGGTTTGTGGGTGTGGCTCCCACATACCTAACTTTTGGCCATTTAATTTCTTGGTAAAATTGACCCCAAGTTATTGAGGTCTGGCCAAAGGCACAGTGGCAATTTTGGGGTATCAGGAAAACTGAAGGTACCATCAGGCTGCTGATGCACTCTCCCTGCAGGTACAGGGTGACCTGCTGGCAGCACCCTACTCCCAGCAAATAGAACTTTCATAAAACATGTATGCTTTCTGACTCCCCCCCAAAAAATAAATAAATAATAAAACATGCATGCTTTTGGAAAATGAAACGTGTATGCTTTCAAGAATCTTTTACTCAGAGGAGGCCTAACCAAGAAAATATGTGGTATATTTTGTGCATAAAACCATGTTGTGTGTGTGTATATATATGTATATATGTGTATATATATATATACACACACGCACACATATGTATACATAAAATTTATCAAGTCAGGAATACTTTATCAGAAGATTTTATTCTTTACCAGTAATGTTTAATTTGTGTATTTATTTTGGGGGTTGCAACACCTGGCGATGCTCAAGGGTTATTCCTGGCTCTGCAGTCAGGAATTACTCCTGGCATGACTCAAGGGACCCAGATGAGATACTGTATGTCGAACCCTGGTCAGCCATGTGTAAGGCAAATCCCCTCCCCTCTGTTCTAGTCCTCTGACCCCATGAATGTTTAATTTTTAAATATTAAAATATTGTTACTGTGTCTGGCATATCGAATATTATCTTTTATTTTCCAGTATCTTTATTAATGATCAACTGAAATTAATGTTATGTGACATAATATTTCTAAAAATGGAAGCTGTTGTGAATGAGTAATACTATGGTTTAAAAAAATAATAGTAATAATACTATGGTTTATTGTGGGAATATATTAAATTTTTCATTTTTGTGTGCACTCCTTCAGTTTCCTTTTTCTTTTTTCTGTTTTGACTTTGGGGCCACATCTGATGGTGTGTGTGGGGGGGTTGTTCCTAATTCAGTGCTCAGGGAACCCTCCCTGGAGTGCTCAGGGGACATATGGTGACAGGTATTAAAGTCAGGCTCTCTGCATACAGAGAGTTCAGCCACTGAGTTCTCTCCAGTCCCTCCCTCAACTTCTTGTAAAGTAAAAGGCCCTCCCGTTGATCATAGATTTGCTCGAGCAGGCCCAGTAACATCTCCATTGGAGACTTTTGTTGTTACTGTGTTTGGCATATGAAATACGTCATGGGGAGCTTGCCAGGCTCTGCCATGCGGGCGAGATACTCTCGGTAGCTTGCCGGGCTCTCCGAGAGGGGCGGAGGAATCGAACTCGGGTCGGCCATGTTGGCTGCGTGCAAGGCAAACGCCCTACCGCTGTGCTATCGCTCCTTTTCTTTTTGGGTCACACCTGGCAATGCATAGAGGTTACTCCTGGCTCTGCACTCAGGAATTACTCCTGGCAGTGCCCAGGGGACCATATGGGATGCTGGGAATCGAACCCGGGTCAGCTGCATGCAAGACAAATGCCCTACCTGCTGTGCTATTGCTCCAGTCCCTTGTAAGAATTTTTTCTTTTTCTTTTAAATATAAATTCTGATAACTAACGGGTTAAAAAGTGAAGGAAATATTCGTCATTTGAACTTGTCAGAAAGTCTTGAAATGCTCACCTTCCCAAGCCTGTAGGAAGACCAAAGAAAGTAAAAGTAAAGAAAGTAAGCTTTCTACTTTTCTTGACCTGGGATTTTTTCTGAAGCCTCCGTCTGAAAATTTGAAAGTAACACAAATCATCTAAAACGTTTGGTGTCCTTTTCCACTATGGGAAATTATTATCTTGTCTATTCTAGCCAAGAACCTGGATCATAGCTTAAACTATCTAAAATTATTCTCTTGTAATTTGTGAGGTCATTTTTATTAACCTCTATCCCCATCAAAGCTTTAAAAAAAATTGGATGAAACAAGATCATTTTTATTTATTAGAGTTTATTTAGGAAGTTGTGAGGGGAGAGGGAGACGTGTGTGTTCAAGAGAGAACAGAGGCTTCTTTAGAGTGGAAATAAGAAAAGAAACATAAGACAAGCAAGCGAGATTTTTGTTCAAGATAGAAGATGGGCTTGAAGAACAAGCCCCAAACCAATTTTTAAGTAATGTTTAATCGGAAAGCACATAACCTATACTGCCATTTGATTTGAAATGATTACTGTTCAACTCCAAAACTTAGGCTTCTGCCATCAGTTACCAACTTTTTATCTAAGGGTCATTTTGTACAAGGAAGTCACCATGAATAAATACAGAAGGCTATGACAGATTCAGACTCAGGTCTAAAATAAATCTCCTCTCAGCAGAGTTTAGGGGGAAGGGAGAAATCGGGCCAGAGCTATAGTACAGTGGGTAGGGCATTTGACTTGTATGCAGCTGACCCGACTTCAATCCCCGGCATCCCGTATGGTCTCCTGAGCACTAGCAGGAGCAATCCCTGAACACAGAGCCAGGAGTCATCCCTGAGCATCACTGAGTTTGACCCAAAAAGCCTCCCTGCCCCCAAAAAGTATGTGTGTGGGGGGGGGGAGGTGTATTAGGTGAATAAAGAACTGGAGGTAATGAAAGGTTACTGAGATGCTATTCCTGCATATATGTGAAGTGCCCTTAGTGTAAAAAGGAAAACCAAGTGTCCATCTTTCCCGTGCAAGGCAGATTTGGTACACAGTGAATGATAAGGCACTGCAGGAATGCTCTCTTGCCATGCTTCATCAAGAAAATAATGTCAAAACTCTAATGTCACTTCTCTAGTGTCAACACAAAACTGCAGACGCCTGGTCACGTGATAGGAAATTAAACCTTCCTAACAGACCCGCAGCTCCTCTCTCCCGTTTCCCTGTTTTCCTTTTCTCATTGTGAAAAAGATACCAAGAATTGTTATTTGTCAGCTTAAGTTTTCTATCCCTTTCTTTTGCTTTCAAGGTGATATTTCGCCATCTTGTAGTGCAGAAAGTTAAGGGAATATAGTTTTGTTTTTATTTTTTTAAGGGAATATATATCTCTATAGACCTGCACTGCTTTTGTCTTTAATAGTTAGAACTCAGGGTTCTTTTTCTTTGATATCTTCAAGTTTTATAAACAAGTATGCATCGGTTCCAAAACAGAGAAAAGATCCAGTAAATAAAGAATGGAAAAAATAATAATGTTACTACAAAAGCTTTGTATTGTTTGATCATCATCCTTATTTATTCTTCTTTCTCATGTATAATTTAAAGAAATTATTGGGTAGAAATAGTTGTAATAAAGGAGATTTCAGGAGTTTGTCCTTGAAACAGATATCCTTTCATAGTTAAAAAGATATTTTTGAATGTTACATTTTATTCCAGTAATTTCATGTTTTATATTTTTTCTAAAAGATATATTTTACTTAAACTTTTAGGAAACTTAAAATATTTACATGTATCAAAGTACTTTGATAAACTTCATAGATCTTGAGTTTATTGAGAGTCTTCTACAGTGCTTTTTCTTAGACTTGAAGAGAAAAACTGCTAGTTGTAGAATTTTTTCCCAATGTTAGATATCTACTAAACACTTAAATTCGATGAAAAACCTCTACATTAAGCTTTGTGGTGATAAGCATGATTCTGTTTTTTGTTTGTTTTTCAGTCACAACCTGCAGTGTTTAAGAATTGCTCCTGACTCTGTGCTCAGAATTGACTTCTGGAGGAGTCCAGGAGACCATATTTTGTGCCAGGCATTGAACCTGGGTCAGCCCCATGAATGTCAAGAGCCCTCCATTCTATACAACTACTCTAGCCCCTATAATCATGTTTATAATGCAAATGGAATTTATTCAATACCAACATAAATTTTGAGTTAAATTTAATTTGGTTTCTACCCTCATAATTTTTAGCTATTCAACACCCCAGTGTACCCTATAGTTTTTTTACTAACCAGAATATTTGGTATGTGTTTTATTTTTTTGTTTAAGGTATTTTCTCTTTTCCTTTTTTGTAAATATTTAATGATTATATGCTTAACTCTCCTCCCCCCCAAAAAAAATGTTCCATCTAACAAAGATGTTATTATTATGCTTTAATCTCAGAATTGGTGACAAGAAAAATGTAGCCTGGAAGATACTTCCAAAGAAGCCATGTAAAAATCTGATGAACACACTGAATAATTTGCATCAGCAACTGGCAAAGTGTAAGTGGAGAACTTAATCAAAAAAAGTAATTTAAACTAAGAAGAGAATCACAGTCACTTCATCTTACTTGTAAAAGAATAGTATTATTTTATTTAAAGGAAAGTTATTTTACACTCCTAAAGCAATTGTTCATTAAAACAGAATTCATTAGACTTTACATGGAAGATTTATAAAATTTCTATTTTATCATGTTATCCTAGAACCATTTTAGAATACTAAAATTCTTAAAAGCTCAGATGGTTATTTCTCTTAGTTTTTCCATTTCTGAAATGCCATGAGAAAAATAAAGGTTCCCATTTCTATATTTTCTTCATATGTAGAATAGAAAAAGTTAGGGAAATCTAAGACAGATGGCATAAATTATATTTTTGAATACTCATGATTTCGTCGGGTGAAAGCAAGGTCTTGTGCGTTTCACCTTCAGGGAATCTTACTGCTATTATTATCTCAAATAATTTGAAGGTAGAAGTTTGCCAAAAGTTTTAGGAAATTAATGTAAAAGAAAATTGATTAGGATATGGCATATTTCAGGATAAAGCTGATGTAAGAATATATGTTGACAGTGATCTAAAATTACATAAGAGAAGAATTAGCCTTTATTTCTTTATCTAATCCTCTGGTATTTTACAACAATGGCCCATTCAGGAACCATAATGTAAAACTTATTTTATGAAATATAGTCAGTAAGATATAGCAGTATTTGAGGTTCTTATTAATATATTAGATAAGATGTTAGAGGCAGCCTACACGTATGAGGTTCCGGGTGCCTCTGTTAACTAGAAATAGATCTAGAAAAGAACAATACTTACAAAGTAAACCTTTAATTTGGAAATAGTGCATAAGTATGGGGAAAAGAAAAGCATCAGCACCAAGTAGAGCAAAATCTATTTTTGTTCTATCTTGCTTTGTCTTATGGAATAAACTATAATTTTTTGTCTCAGTGTCACACCCAGCAGTACTCAGGGATGACTCCTAGCTCTGTGCTCAGGGATCACTCTTGGTGGAGCTTAGGGGACCATGTGGGGTTCTGGAAGTTGAACCTGGGTTGGCCGCATACTAGGCAAGACCCTACCCTTAGTACTGTCTCTCCAGCCCCACAAATCATATAATTTTATTTAAGATAACTAGTTAATTGCTTTGTAAAAAGTACATACATTTGAGTAATTGAGTTTAACCATTTTTGTAGTAATATTTACACATTAAAATTAGTAACATAGCCCATCAAGTTTTTGCTGAAGGAAAGAATCTTAAAGCTAACAATTTAAAACAGTATTGAAGGATTGTATACTACTTTAAAGATTCAGAGCACTTTTTTTATATACTTTTTATTATAGCACAGCAGGTAGGGCATTTGCCTTGCACGCAGCCGACCCAGGTTTGATTCCTCTGCCCCTCTCAGAGAGCCCAACAAGCTACCGAGAGTATCTTGCCCACACAGCAAAGCCTGGCAAGCTTTCCATGACGTATTCGATATGCCAAAAACAGTAACAAGTCTCACAATTCGTTGTGAGACATTACTGGTTCCCACTCTAGTAAATCGATGAACAATGGGAGGACAGTGCTACAGTGCTAGTGTTTTACAACCATTAGGATTACAAAGTTCAAGGCAAAAAAGTAGAGTGTCAATGATCATTGGGTAATAAGTATGAAAAGATATTAAATCTTAGGCTTTATGAAGTCAGAGTGTGAGTGAGTAGAGGGGTTAAGACATTTTGTTTGCACAGTGAACCCCAGTTTGACCCCTAGTACCACATATGGTCCCCTGAGCACTTTTAGGTGTGGACCAACTCCCACCCTTCACCCCACCAAAAAAAAAAAGTTCCTAGACTTTATGTTCCACTACCTATATTTTTTCTAGTACTCTGGCCTCTTTGGACAGTAAGAATTTAAAGCAAACCTCTCTAAAGTTATTAATAGTACTCATGTCTTTATTTTTTTTAATTTAAAGCAAGGATACTTTTTTCTTGACCCTTTGAAAATTGATGCTCCATGACCTCCATATGAAATACATTTCCTACGTTCTCTCCCACATCACTACATTATAACCATGAATATCAGAAATTGAATCTTTTTGTGTGTGTGTCAGTATTACTTTATTTTTCCCATTTTATTATAATTTTATAAAGTAGTTCACAATATTTGATTACATTTAATATTCAAACATCAATCCCACCACCATAATACTTTCCCACCATCATATTTTGATGTTTCCATCCAGAACCCCAACCGCAGCCCCAAAGCAGAACCGAAATGATTTATTTTGTATTGTTGGTTATGATTAAACCACTGGAAATGCTCCAAAAAACTTTCCTTAGAGGAGAGTGTGTGAAGATTGTTGTATTTCACCCAGGGGCCATTAAGTCCTTCTATAAGAGATTACTAATATGTTGTCAAAGGTTGAGCCGCACAGAAGACTCAACCCTTAACAATATATTAGAAATATATATATTATATATAAGGTAAAGGTAAAGGCCCTCCCGTTGATCGTCGATTTGCTCGAGCGGGCCCAGTAACGTCTCCATTGGAGACTTTGTTGTTACTGTGTCTGGCATATCGAATACTCTCGGTAGCTTGCCGGGCTCTCCGAGAGGGGCGGAGGAATCGAACTCGGGTCGGCCATGTTGGCCGCGTGTAAGGCGAACGCCCTACCCGCTGTGCTATCGCTCCAGCATATATGCTCAGCAGCCATGAGCATGGCAGAGGTTGCATTCTGGAGGTTTTCTGCTGCTGGGGTTGGGTCCCTTGGGGCAGAGAGGGGGCCTCACTCGCCCCACTCTGGGGTGCCCCGAATGAAACAGCCTGACCTGGGGGTCCAGTGGCATGGCTAATGGCCTTGTCGTGTTATGCTCTCTCCAGAAATAATTGAATCTTGAGAAACAGAAAAAGAACTGCCCCCTTATCTTCAGAATATTTCCAAATCAGGTGCTGTTTTTACACACACACTCTCTCTTCTCTCTATTTCCCCTCTTCCTTCTCTCTCTCTCTCACCCCCCTCTTTCTCTTTTAATCTAATCACCTTTTCTCTTAAAAATTCCTTAATTTTTCCTTTACTTTCATTAGATTTTGAAAATGTTTTTGTGAATATTTTCATGATAAATGTAGGTTATCCTTCTCAAATTGTGTGTTATTTCCATTTGATCTTTTGATTCAGTCTGTATCTGCTATAAAGTTACTAGTGCCACCTAATGCCCTCAGCACTGTAGGACGGGAGATCGTTTTTCACGCTTCAGTTCCTGTCCCTTCTGATGGCGTTATGCACACACACATGGTTATAATGTGATGTGGAGAGAATGTAGGAAGTGTATTACATATGGATTCCTGGAGCTTTGTAATGGAATTTAAAGGTGCATATTCGCCTCCTTTGGGGAAAAATGTTACTTAGCACCCCTGGAAATTTACCTCCTATAAGCTAACAAATAGAAAGTGTTTTATCTGAGGCCCCTTGTGCCCCCACCTCCAGCCTATGGGGTGACAGTGCCCGCTTTGGGAGACACTGAGATAAGTGAACAGTCATGAGCCCTTCTGAAAAATGCAACAATTACATTTTTTTTCAGTTTCAATTTGCACTATAATTGACATAAAGAATTCTGTGAATTAGTTGTGTACCTGACTTGCATTTAGTTACTTGGCTCATGTTTCCAACACACGTGTGTTGCGACGGTTCCTGCGAGCCAGCTCTGGCCGTTAGGAGACTCACGCTGCTTGTCTTCACAGTGCAGCAGAGACCAAGAGACGACGGACTGATGGATCTCGCCACGAATGACTATGATTTTAATTCCGGAAAGAGATTGCATATGATAGATTTGGAAATCCAAGAGGCATTTTTGTTTTTCATGGCTTCAATTTTAAAAGGCTACAGGTCATACTTAAGACCAATAACTCAAGCCCCGTCTGAGACAGCCACGGATGCCAGCTCTCTGTTTGCTCTTCAAGGTGAGTGATTGCATTGGCTTACAGATTTCAGATTACTAAGCTTCCCCTTATCATGACTCAGTCACTTTCTGGGTTAGTGGCCCAGACTTATCAGAGTACATACTGATTTAGGGCCTATGTATCAACTGATAATCCATTTCTATACAACTTGTAACCACTCAGCAGAATATATATATAATCCAGTAGTGAAGTAGGCACAAGCCACTATTTGAAAAGTTACAGAGCTTCCTATCCCTGTGTTACTTTCTTATTTAGAAACCTTTGAAAAAGAAATGTATTTAATAAGTGTACGTTAAAAGCCTCCAAACATCTGCCTTTGGGCTTATAGTAGCATTTGGCCACAAACGATGTGGCCAAATAGAGATGTCATCACTCACTGTCATATCGTTTATAGTTAGGAAGATAGTATGGCATTTGAACATTATTTTGAATTTTAAAATTCAAATTTTTAATTTGAAAATAATTTGAAGATAGTATGAATGAGTAGACTTTAATCCACGACTTTAGATTGCAGGTTTCTCCTGAGGAAGTCGCATTTGAGCCTTGATTGAAAGGATGAGTAGAATCTAGCCAGTCAAAGGGGAAATATGGGAGTTTTTAGGCAGAGACAATAATTGGTGCTGTCTCTGAGACTTACTAAGGCACAAACTGAAATGAATCTGCATTTAAATAGCCACAAAGCAGTATGGTCATTAGAGGATATGAGTCTACCAACTTCCGGCTTGGGGCAAAGTCACCAAGAGGAAGGAAAGAAGGAAAGAAGGGAGGAAAGGGAGAGGAAAGGACGGATAGCATGAATACTTTTGGGGGACTGTTATGTTTTACCAGTTTGTTTATGATCTCTAAGGCAGTGAGGGGACAACACAGATAATTATGGTTAAAAATGTCAAAGTTTGAGGTAAAGATACCTTTCCTATTGCTAACTTTGTCAACTCTTGTTCCCTTTCTGGGGTCTTTATCCTTCTGCAAAATGGCAGGGAATGTCGAGTGTAGGGAATGTCGTTGATCCAGTTCTTCCCACCAAAATTTATATGAGCTTGTAAGTAGTATTATATATTTTTGACGTTATAAATTTGTGTTGAACAGCTTTCTTAAGAAGCCGGGACCGGTCACATCAAAAATTTTATAACTTGATGACCAAAACACAAATGTTCATTCGCTTCATTGAGGAATGTTCTTTTGTCAGTGATAAAGATGCGAGCCTGGCGTTTTTTGATGATTGTGTAGATAAAGTAAGTACTAGTATATCTATAGTGCCCTCACTTCTTTTGTGTGACTGTTAATGTTATTATACTTTATATAATTTTACTAGTTTTCAACAAAATATAGATTCTGTTTCATAAGTGGCCCTTTATTGTGATTTTTGTGCTACTAAAAGCTGTTAGAGAACAGTATCCTTACAGGGTCTAATTAAGTCATTAGTTTGATTTTTGGTCCATAACTGCTCACCTACTTGGAACTATGGGAATTCTGTTTAAACCTATAGATCTTAGACTTGAACATGCTTACTTTTCATCTATTCTTCTTATTGTCTAGAAAAGGCATGTCACAAGTCTGGGGATGTGGCTCAGATGTAGGTCGCATGCCTTGCATATGTGAAGCCCTGGACTTGATCCCTGGAACTACATGCTACATTCCCTCCCACAGACATCAGCATATCTAGATGCAGTCTGTGTGACCCCTGAGCACTGCCAGGCTTGAACACTGCTGGATAAGGCCCTAGTAATCCTAATAGTAAACTGGATAGCACAATGGTTAGGGGTAGATGCTGTGCATTTGTAGAACCCCAATTTGATTCCCAGTTCCACATGTCCCATGGCCCTGGTGGTCCCTGCACTTTAGGGCCTGAGCAGCACCTTATCCTCTGACCTTGGTGTTTAACTCTGGCCTAGTTGGCTGCATAGCTCCAAGAACTGCCCAGGAGTTCTTGGGAGGAGCCAGAAATGTTGTAGTCACCGTCATCGTCATCACCATCATTCATCATCACCATCATCACCATCATCATCATCACCATCCACATGTAAATTGTCACATGCTGAGAATAAATTCATAGCTGATTGAATAACCCATATGATCATTTCTACAGTTTAGGGCCAAGTTTGTAGCACAGAGAAGAGAATTCCTCCTCTTCCCCTTCAGTAAGGAACATTCTATCTAGATTATATTCAGATACCAGGATTTAAGATTTCATTTTATATTCTGTTCCATTTGGATTTCTTTTACCAGTCAATGCACTTTTTTTTCTGACAGAGATAAATTTTAACGTATTTATATTTCTTCATTAAACATGAGTTTCACAATAAAATAAATATTCGAGTTATAAATAGGAAACAAGAGCTGTACCATTTATAGGAACTTATCTGTCTTCTAAGGTCCTTTTATAGTCTTCCTTTGACACTTCAAAGATTAAGCTTTAAAAACGTTGCATTATAAATCTTACATTTTTATTACATTGTGAGAATGGTTTAAACAAAGCACTCAGGCTTTTAAAACTTAAAAACATTGTACTTAAAAATTTCCCATTTGATAAGGTATTTCGTACAGCTAATGGGCATATAAAGAAGAGCTCATCATCGCTTGTGATTAGGGAAACACAGTTCAAAACAATGAGATACCATCTCACACCAGGAAGAATGGGATGTATCAGAAAATCTGTAAATAGCCAGTATTGGTGGGAGAATGTGAGAAAGAAATCCTCATTCACATTTGGTAGAAATGTCATCTGGTTTAATCTCTATGAGAACTAATATGGTTATTTCCCCCAGAAAATTATGAATAATTTCCCCAGAAAATTATGAATGTTTCCCCAGAAAATTATGAATATGACTCAGCAATACAACCTATTGGCGTCTTCCCCCAACAACACAAAAACAATTCAAAAGGACATATGTACACTAATGTACATTGCAGTGTTTAGTACAATAGCAGAGTACAAAAGCCAGATACAAGTATGGATGAATGGATCAAGGATTTGTGATATGAGCTAAAAAGGGGTATCTAGGAAGACTGGATAAGGCACTTAACTTGCACATAGCAACCTAGTCTGCATATTTTTATTGGAAGAAAATATGAAGTGCCACCCCAGCACTCCATATGAGCATTGCCAGGAGTGATCCCCGAGCATAGAGTCAGAAGTAATCCCAATTCAACACTGGATGTGGCCTACCCCCAAAGAAGTTGTAGTATAAATACTCAGTGGAATACTATTAATCTGTAAGAAATTAATTTGCTGCTCCAGGGATGGAACGAAAGAGTTCCATGCTAGAGAGTGAAGTGAATTAGAAGGAAAGGAAGATACAGAATAATCTCCCTCAGGTTTGAGACTTAAAGATAATGGTAAGGGAGCAACAAATAGCCAAAGGCAACATATCTAGAGCGTTCATCCAGAAAACTGAGTTTATGAGAGCATTAGAATGGGAGGAGCCATTGGGACTATGGTGGAGGGAAGTGGGTACTCTGGTGGCAAGTGTGATGTTGAAATGATGCAGGCACAAAACTGTCATTAACAGTATTGTAAATCACAGTGCCTCAATAAAGATTTTTTTTTAAATTTCCATTGGAGGTGAATAACAATTTTTTTATGTAGGAGTACTGCTATTTATTCAGCCACTGATTAGCTGATTGAATTGGGCATGAACTCCACCTTACTTTTTTTTTCATAATTTCATTTATTTTATTTTTCTTCTAATATTTATTTATTGAATCACTGTGGGAAAAGTTACTAAGCTTTCAGGTTTAAGTCTCAGTCGTACAGTGATCAAACACCTCTCCCTTCATCAGTACTCATTTTTCACCACCAAGAACCCCAATATACCCCCCTCCCACCCCTCCCAGTGCCTGTGAGGCAGATGATTTCCACTTAACTCTTCTCTACATTGATTACAGTCATTATTTCGACAAAAGATGCACCATTATTGTTTAGAATTCCCCCCCCCAACAATCAAAATTTCTGGAAAAGGCATTGTGAAATACTTTGTTTGCTATAGATGGTTATGAGAATCATATAGTGGCATATGGCCACAATAGTGGCCGTGCGATTTTGAATTTCTGCAAAGAGATAATTACGAGATTGGTTTCTGTGCATCTGGTGTTATGGCTGTGCCGGAGAGCCACTCGTTGGGTGCAACTTGTGACCTCGGTAGGGCGTGAAGGATGAGCCGGTACTGCCCCCTTTCCCATGAGACTGCAGTTACCCCGTCACCGCCGGCTCATATCTGGCTTTTCTATAAGCTCTGAGGTGGCTGCCACCTTGCTGCTAGGGGGGGAAAAGGCGAAAGGGAGCAACACCCTTTCCCTCCCAGGGAGGCATGGCGCCGTAGTTTAATGCATGGTCCATTCACTTTTCTGCCACAAGCTGCTGGGCTCTGGATTAAGTCCTTTTGCCTCTGGAGCCATGGCCATGCCAGAGAGCCGCTTGTGGGGGCAACTCCTGACCTCAGTAGGGCATGAAGTGTGAGCCAGTACTGCCCCCCTTCCCATGAGACTGCAGTTGCCCTGTCACCACTGGCTCATACCTGGCTTTTGAATAAGCTCTGAGGCAGTGGCCAGCTTGTATGCGGTCCAGATGCATTTCTGCCAAAAGCCGCAGGGTTTCGAGATTTGTTTCTGAGTTTCTGGGATCATGGCCGTTAATCAGCTTGATCAGGAGCCAGAGAGGCCGTTTGTAGGCAGCAACTCGGAGTCTCGCTGGGATGGGGAGGAAAGGGCTGGTTCCACCACCATCTGATGAGGCCCTGCATGTCTCGTCACTGCAGGCCCAAACCTGACTGTCCAGTGGGCTCTGGAGGATGGTGGTCACCAGGCCACCAAGGGAACAGGCCAAGGTACGAAACCTATTCCCACTTGGAGTGGCCCAGTGCCAGTAACCTATTGCAGGAACAGAGCGCATTTCTGCCAAAAGCCTTTGGGTTCCGAGATTCGTTTCCAAGTCTCTGGAATCATGGCCGTTAAGCAGTTCAATCAGGAACCAGAGAGGCCATGCCTCCAATTATATAGCTGAGCTGGAGGTGGTTTGTGGGTGTGTCTCCCACATACCTAACTTCTGGCTGTTTACTTTCTTGGTAAACTTTGCCCCAAGTTTTTGGGGTCTGTCCAAAGGCACAGCAGCAATTTTGGGGTATCTGAAAGTCTGACGGTGTCATCAGGCTGCTGATGCACTCGCCTCACAGGTACAGATTGACCTGCTGGCAGCATCATACCCCCTGGATAACAATTTAAAAAAAAAACAGTAAAATGAACTTTATTTCATTCAAAATGCTGTGGGAAAAAACTGTAGCTCAAGCTAAAAAAGAAGAAATGATACCCTAAAAATAATCAAGGAATGATTCCAAAATACTTTTTATAAAACTAGTTTTATATAGTTCACACAGTTCTGCTTCACTTAAGAGCTCATATCATAGTATCATATGTTTTAAGTTCTCATTAATATGTAAACATACAAAACTTGTAACTTTCCTGAGTACTGAGGGGATCATGTTCTAAGGAGGATATTGTAGTACTGATAACAGCTATATTGGTTAGGATTTTCTGAAAGGTCACCTGCTGTTTGCTAAGAGTCAGGGTGGACATGACTAGAATAATTGCTTAAAGATTATAAATTCTAACCACAGAGCCAGTAGCACTGCAGACACAAAATCCAAACCATGACAACCAAACTTTTAGCTGTGCCTGTCGGGGAGCAGGCTGATGGGTAGGAGGACACCTGGGTGCTCCTGTGGAGGGAAATGGACAGGAAATGGACACTGGTGGTGGCATTGGTGCTGTACACCCGAAACTCAACTATGAATAACCTTGTAAATCACATGCCTTAATAAAAAGTTACTTTATTTATTTGGGGATTTGGGGGGGGTCACCCTTTGCGATGCTCTGGAGTTACTACTGGCTCTGTACGCAGAAGTCACTTTTGGCGGTGCTCGGGGGACTATCTGGAATGTCGGGGATTGAACCCAGGTTGGCCGCATGCAAGGCAAATGCCCTACTTGCTGTATTATTGCTCTGACCTCTAAAATGTTGTTTTTAAAAAAGAATGTAAATTCTGATAAGTCTCCCCCCAAAAGGCCCATTTTATAAAGTATAACCATTGACTTTAGAAAAATCTTCCTTCAATAGTATAGATTGAGTAAAATATCAGTTATAATGGTTTAATTTTATACTTAGATACTCTAGTTACCATTAAGAAAATCAAAAATGAGGGGCTGGAGCATTAGGACGGAAGGTATGCCATTTGCCTTGC